CATGGAACCATCGATGCCGATAAAGAACCTTTATTTATAAAAGTGTAAGCAGGTGGAAAATGAACAAACTCTTCTGGAGAATCACTCAAATGTCATGCTGCCCCCTTCTGGCTAAGAATGCAAATGGCTATCAGGCTTTTTACTGGATAACCCGGTGCAAAAGAGTGCAACTTAACATCCTCACATATACGAGGCCAAATCTTGTATATCCAATTCCTCTAAGAATTTGACTCTAACGTTTCGTATTCTGGTTCTGTAGATAATCCTGGAGATTAGGAAGGAGGACGAATACAGAATTCCCATCTGGGTGATTATTGGAAGTACTCTGGGAGGACTACAGCTTCTGGCCCTGCTGGTACTGGCGCTCTGGAAGGTTTGGGATGGATTTTATTCAAAGTTACCCACTGAAATGAGCCAATCCTAAATTCCATCCATATGTTGCCATTCTCTTTTACATTAGATTAAGTAGAACTAAATTTACATATGTGTGACCCTGGACCACAAAACCAGGCACAAGGGTCGAGTTTTTTAGGACAGGATAATATTTGGCTGAGATACAACTATTTGAAAATCTGGAATCTGAGGGTGCAAAAAAATCGAAACATTGAGAAAATCGAATTAAATTAGTCAATTTATGTTCGCAATATTGCTGCATTCACTCACAAACATTTTTATATATATATATATATATATTTACAGTAGGAAATGTACAAAATATCTTTATGGAACATGATCTTAATAATATCCTAATGATTTTTGGCATAAAAGAACCCATACAATGGATTGTTGGCTATTGCCACAAATATAACTGTGCGACTTGTGACTGGTTTTCACTGGTGATCGCATATTTACATAATAACAAACATGTATTTTAGGGATTGTTAGAGGTTATATCTCCTAGGACGCTTCCACTAAAACAAATCACTGTTTTTCTTTCATCCTCAGCTTGGATTCTTCCACAGGCAAAAGAGAAAGAGAGAAGAGCAGGCGGCCAATGAGAAGACAGCAGAGGATCGGTAACCGCACGGCAACCAATGAGAAGACAGCAGAGGATCGGTAACCGCACGGCAACCTCCTCAGCCAATCACTCAGGGATTCTCCAGACATGGTGTGCGTCAGCCAATCAGCTGCTCTCGAGCACTGCCACGCCCTTCTGCAGTCTGACCAATCAGCTCGCTTCGTGCTGCCAATTAAGATGAGAAGATGTGAAGAGATGAGGCCTGAAGGCTTTAGTGTGAGGGTTTGAAATCCAGGTCAAAAAAGAAAGAGGTGGAAAGTATGGAAGCTTGTTTCCGCCACATATTTTAAGATAAAGATAAAAATACTTTTTTGTGTATTATACAGGTGAAACTCGAAAAATTAGAATATGGTGCAAAAGTTCATTTATTTCAGTAATTCAACTTAAAAGGTGAAACTAATATATTATATAGACTCATTACATGCAAAGTGAGATATTTCAAGCCTTTATTTGTTATAATTTTGATGATTATGGATTACAGATATGAAAACCTTTTCACAATATTCTAATTTTGAATTTGGGGTTTTCAAAAGCTGTAAGCCATAATCATCACAATTATAACAAATAAAGGCTTGAAATATCTCACTTTGCATGTAATGAGTCTATATAATATATTAGTTTCACCTTTTAAGTTGAATTACTGAAATAAATGAACTTTTGCACGATATTCAAATTTTTCAAGTTTCACCTGTAAAGTCAGAATGACTTTATATAAAATCGCAATTGTGTTATAAAGTCAGAATTACTTGATATAAAGCCAGAATTGCGTGTTATAAAGTCAGAATTACTTGATATAAAGTCGCAATTGTGAGATAAAAAGTCGCAATAATCTTTTTAAATGTTTTATTCTGTGGCGGAAACAAGCTTCCATAGGAACGAACTAGTCAACGATAAAAACAAACACTAATGAATAGGCTCCAGTTTTTGGTGCTGATAAAATGTTTGTGTGTCATAAAACAAACCTCAGATCATGGAACCGACTTTTTTGCTGCAGCATAAATTCAAGCTGATGCACTTGCACATTGTAAAGAATTTTGAACTTGAAATATGTAAATATGAAAAAGTTCAGCAATATAATGCAATACAAATATTTAACCATAAAATTATTAATATCATGCACTTTTTGTTGCCACTTACATCTTTTCATGATGTATAATTTTATATAGTTCGAGTTTTTTGCAGCTGGAATTGAAAGTATTCCATTTGTATTTCTGTGTTTTGTTTTTCATTTGAAGTTGGTAAAAATGCTTAAGGGTAGTTGAAATAATAAAATGGATGGGAAACACATTTTATGTGCTACTGGTAACCAGTTTTTCACCTTTTTTTGCAATAATTTAATTTTTTACTGTAAATTTACTTACTTAAAAAAAATTCTGTTTTATAAATATTACTGTAGTGATGAATATTTTAGATTTTTTTTTTAAATAATATAAAAGTACAATATTCCATGTATTCTCTCCATTAACATGGACAGTTAAATATCGAATAAGTAGACAAATACTATAGAAATAAATAAATCATCTTTGACATCTCAACTACCCTTAAACACTTTGTGATCACTGTCGATTAACAGTGGCTGTGTTCAGAACGCAATACTAGTTTACTACTTATAAACACACTATACTGCTGGTTATTAGTGACATAGTATGCATTATAAACCATTTCAACAGTATTGTCTTGGAAATAATTAAAAGTTATTTTGCATTTAAAATCAGACTATCTTTCAGAAAAGAGATGTTAAGATGCATTGCAGGAATACTTTATTTCTTTTGTGCAAATTTTGTCAAATGTAGGTGATCTATGGCATACTGCACTTACTGTACACTGCAGAAATAAGTGTGTGTGGTGGTATGCGGTTCTGAACATAGTCACTCAATCCCAAATGTTGTCGGACAGCATTTTTCTTATGACATGGCTTTACAGCTTTCACAGTATAAGACACCGGGGTGAATCTACGGTCACTTGTTTTAACTGTTGTCACTTATGTTGGCATTTTATTGCATGTAGATGACAGCCGAATGTTCATGTGTTTTTTATTGATCCACTGAATAAATTAAAATCATCAATTTAAAAAACACTTAAATCTTTCTTCTTGAAATCAGAATTAGTTCTATAGACCGATATGAACAGTGCCTATATATGTAAATATTACAAAACATAAGTTTAAATAAAGTGAGCAAAATATTTAGCTTGCTACATCATTCCTATTGTTGCATTTGTGTTATTTCAGAGTTTATCACTTTTTCTAACATGTTGAAAACATTCAGAAGGAATAATCAATAGGTGTGTCTGACACGAAGACTAAACGTGCTTCAAAAAGTAATGAAATGTAATCAGTTACATTAATAAAGTAATTACACTACTTATTACATTTTAAATATGCAACTTGTAATCTGTAACCCTTTACATTTCCAAAGTAACCTTCCCAACACTGTTTACACGACAACAATGTACTAAAAACTAAAGTTTTTACTTTACGTACAGACGGCAACGCTGTCAAGACGATCCCCGTTCACACTGATCCGCGAGAACGATTAAAGACGCTGTATTCTGCTGCCAGGCCATTAGATGGGGATGTCACTTTGTAATGAAACACTTAAAACGTAATGCACACGATTTTCACAAATTCTCGTTTTTGTAGTTTACAATTACGATAATGGTATCTCTAGCGACGCATGATATATCGGCCACCATATCGGTATCGGCGGATTATGTTCATTTTAATGTTTGGCAAAAATTTGCCCGATATATTAAAGCCGAAAAATAATGTATTATTTCCTTCAGCTGAGACGCTTCAGATGTTCAACATGATGGTTTGAATTGCTTAATTTGTTTGGGACATGGATTTTAATGTTGAGACTAATTATATAAAAATTTGCGTTAGATTTATCGGCCAATATATCGGTTATCGGCTTTCAAATATAAAGAATTATCGGGTATCGGTCGGACAAAATGTTCATATCGGTGCATCCCTAATGGTATCGTTTTCAAAAACGTCCACTTTGAATCCCGTTTTCGAAAGTTTGCGTTTTCAAGCCCCCAAAACGCCGTTGTCGTGTCAATGAACGGCCAAAACGCATAAAAAGTTTTACGTTTTTAGTTGAAAACGGTGTCGTGTAAACACCCCCTAAGAGAATTTTGCAAACCCTTCTTAAAAATCACAAACTCAAAATACAAAAGAAGCACAGAACCTGACATGCATCTTTAATTGATGTTTTTAATCTTATTTAACTTGGTTTGGAAATAAAAACACGTTGGACAATCCCCCAGTAATTAAAGAATAAAACATGGTGCAAACACAGAGGGTTAAAAACCTCCACATTCAGATTCGGCCACATTCAAGCACTCAAACACACACACACACACACACAGAGATAAAAGAGGGAAGATATGCTTCTCACACACACACTCACACAACAGCACCTTCCAGAATAAGGCCCCGTTACTCCAAAAGAGCTCCAGCAAATGTTCATTAACACAAGTCAGAATTACAGACTTGCTAATTGGCTTTACAGTGGCGTTGTGTTAAAAAAAAAAAGAAGAAGCCATAATAATAATAAAAAGAGTTACATTAAAAATAATAATTATAAATGTCCAACTTCTAGATACAGGCACATTTTAATATTCAAATAAAAGAGATCGCCTGGCACGAAGTTCAGCTTTAGGATATCAACACTCAGCTATTGATTCCTTATAAAATAGACATGTTAGACTCTGTTTTAAATAAACCTTTTATAAAATATGTTAAGAAAACCAAACAAATCTGAAAAGGTTGACAAAAGAGCAGCTTATTTAAAAAAAAAGAGCTGTTCACATTGTTATGATGACTAAAGTTCAACACAATAAAAATGCTGTTCGTCAAAAAAAAGAAATTTTCTAAATAAGGGTCTTTACACCCGCTTTAATTTGTTTTAAAAAAAAGAACCAGGATGAAACCGGAGTTACTTTGGGATAAAATGCAGCAGTCGGATTTAACATCTCCAAGTAAATTAGGGACATATTATAGACGTATAATCCGTGCTGAGTACGTAAACAAGGTCAAATCAAGAGTCTTTAGCATCGTTTCACAAGTTAAATCAAACTCCGAAAGCATTAAACCAGATTTGATGGAAAACTAAAAGTACAGGTCAGTGAAATTCAACAAACTCCTCCAGGCTTTTGGGAATCTGGTCCCGATACAAGATGTGATGTTGCTGCACGGCACGAGCCGCCAGGCATTTCAGACTCATCTTCATTTGCGTCTTCAGAAGGATTTCGGAAACGCCCGTTGTGCTCTTGTCAAGAGGCGTCTTCTTTTGCTTGTTGGTCATGTCCGTATGAGCACCGGCTTCGACGAGGCTGATGATGATGGCGTGGAGGGTCAAGAAGTCGCTAATGGGACGGTTGTATTGCACTATGAGATGCAGAGGACTGTTTCCTTCATTGTCCACGGCGTTCACTTGCGCGCCACAGTCTATGAGCAGCTTGGTAACTTGCGCGTTAGGAAAACTGCAAACGTCGTTGGTGTGGAAGTCGTCTACGGGCGTACCTGAGCTCGCCGCTAAGTGCAAAAGCGACGAGCCCTCGCGGGAACGTGGATCCAGGCGTATTAAGTCGTAGATCTGTTTGTTTATCCGTGCTCGTTCCTCTTCGCCGCACTGCGTTTTGGTGGAGATGCAAACCAGGTAGAGGAAGGTGAACACGTTAGATTCGTAGTTATCGTTGGCCGCCGGTAACTCCGCTTCCGTGGCGGTTTGCATTCGCGAGATGCTGCGGCGGATCTCGAGGACGCTCGCGCGCAAAACGTGCTCCACGTCTGACGCGCGAACCGGCTCTTTCAAGTGCACCATTTGCGAGAACACTTGCGCAAACCTCAAAAGGTCTTTATGGGTGTTGCGGTTTCCTTCCTGGCGTAGGTACAACGCGTGAAGCCACAGCTTGATGCACTGATCGAACTCCATGTTGTCGGCGTAGACAGCGCCGCGGTATATAATGGGATGCGAAACGTCAATGTTATCTGAACCCAGAATTCGCTCGCGGATCATCAGGCCTTCCATGTGCAGCGCATCCCTGTCGTGTCGAATGGCCTCCAACTCTTGCAACGCCCGGCATTCGGTTCTCCCTCCGTACGCCTCAACCGGCGACAGCCACTCTTTAGCGATGACGTTCTGCGGATCACGAAACCGTTCCAGCATGGCAAGGTACAAGTAGTGGTAAGTCTTAAGAATGTCGTAATTCTCACGGTCGTTAGCGAAAGACGCTCCAAGAAGCTCTAACGCTTCAATTCGGTTGTGCGCGTCGCAATCCGCGTGGGAAAGTAGCAGCTCTACCACATCCGCTTTGCAGCTTTCCGCTGCCACTTTTAGCGGTGTCATACCGTGCCCGTTAACCACCATAGCCGCTTGGCATCGCACAAGCTCCTTAACGATGTCCAGATGCCCGGCTTCGGCGGCAAAATGCAACGCGGTGGCTCCACAGTGAGCTTTAGCGTTGGGATTAGCGCCACGCTCGAGTAGGAAGTAAACAACATCGCTGTGGCCCTTATAGGCGGCGATCATCAAGCAAGTGTTGTCGTATTTGTTAGCGATGCTGATGTCGGCCTTGTGCTGCACGAGGTAGCGTACGATGTCCAGCCGTCCGTCGAAGCACGCAGCCCTGAGGGGGGTGGAGTTGGTGAGGGTGGTGTGGTTCACGTTAGCGCTGTGGGAAACTAGCAAACGCACCACCTCGAAATGACCAGCGCCGGCTGCACACCAAAGAGCCGTGGCGCCATCGATAATATACCTGTAAGAGTGAAAGACACGTCAGCAATAGAGTTGGGCAGGTATGACATCACTTTGTAGGCCAAAACGCGGAAGTGAGTTAGCATATTAGCACTTCCGGTTTTGTTGTCCTGAAGTTAATGAGTTTTTTAAATGGGGTTTTGGTTAAATGGCTGAAATAAGGTCTGTGGTGAACATAGGGATGGGACGATTACCGGTTTCACGATAAACCACGATAAAATGTCCTGGCGGTTAGTATTATCGTTTAAAATTTAATTATCATAAAAACCGTGTTTGATTATCGTGATTTTGAAAACTCGCGGTAAATCCTGTCCAGTCTGACGCAGGCGCGAGCAGGCGCGCAGATGCAATGTTGTTTTTTTGCGCGAGAAGACATGGCGGAAGGCAGTGACAGCGCACGGGAGACTTTTCAGCCATCCAAGAGGACAAAATCGGAGGTATGGTCGTATTTTGGCTATTACAAGAGTCCAGAGGGCAATTTAATCGAGGATGGGCACCCTGTCTGCAAATCTTGCAAGAGGAAAGTCGCTGCAAAAGGGGGAAACACGTCAAATCTGCTAAGTCATCTAACGTTACGTGACAACCACCCACTGAGTTAATTTTTACCTTAATACCACAACTAACTTGGGCAAATAATTAGACAAAAAATGTATTGGAGATGAATTATTTCATTATCTCACTTGTAATTATTGCAAAGCTTCCGCGAAGAGAAAAGTTTTACAGCAAGTGGATTTGAGCCAAGACGAACGAACATATTCAAACTATTAAGGGTGACATTTAAGGGATAATGTATTGTATCCATTCATAGTAAACTTATTACAGTTTTATTTTTTACCACAGAAATAATTTCAGGGACATGAAATATTGAATTGCGATTAACTTAATGTTTTTAAATCTTACCGGTTATAAATCCATTATACAAGTTACAGTGTCCAAATCAATCGTAAAGTAAATGTGATCACTACAACAATATTGTAGTAGTATTAATACTAAATTACTCTGATTTAATTTTCAATACAATCAAAACTGAGACGCAAGACATACACATTTGAATGAAACCAGAGATTGCGTCCGCGGTGATCCGAGACATGGATGTGCGCTGTGTAGTGCGTTGCTATTTACAACAGTCATAAGTATTCCAGTAGTTTAGTCACCCTGACCCAACCAACATATTTTGTTCATTTAAAGTGTGCGTGCGTGCGTGCGTGTGAGAGAGAGAGAAAGTGATTTATTATTTATTAATAATAATAATAATATTCAGTCATACACACATCCATAAGTGTTATTATCATTATTAATGATAGGGTTTAATGACGGGTTCATTAAAACCTGCACTAGGAAAACTTATACCTCTCACTCTCAGGGCTCCATGTAATGTTAATATAATGTTTATGCTTAAAAAAGTGCATATAGCTGCTAATTGTATTTTTTGTTTGTTGATTTTCAAATGTTTTCAGGGTGAGCATCAGTTCTTTTGGAACATTTCCATCTCATTTTAACAAAACCGTGATAATATTGATAATCGTGATAACTTTGGTCACTATAATCGTGATATGAAATTTTCATACCGTCCCATCCCTAGGTGAACACATGCTCAAGTCACTCTCACGTTTTATTCCACGACATAAAATACATTAATATTACCCCACTCGTGATTTTTTTTAAGCGGTTACGTGTCTTGAAAAAGGCAGTTGCTAACAAGTGGCTAAGTGGGATTACAGAGGCTGTCGAAGAGATTAAACATAATCACGCCCGCTTTTACAGCATCGTTCTGCTTATAGTTGTGCCTTTATAAAGTATTCTAACTCAAACGTTCTGGGAAAATGTTTTTAGATAAAAACTTAAAGTGTTGTCAGAAGCTAGTGATGGTGACGTTGAATTTGTGGGAGCGTGGTGTAGTTCGTTTATAGCCTACCTTTAGCTTTTTACTTAAAGGAACACGATGACTTTTTGGGACTTAAGCTTATTATTATTATTATTCACTGTATCCCCCAGTTAGATAAGATACCCTTTTCATCTCCGTGCGGGCTGTAACGCTGTCTGACGCACACCACTAGCCTAGCTTAGCACAAAGGCTGGAAGTAAATGGCTCCAGCTAGCATACTGCTCCCAATAATAATAATAATAATAATAATTCATTACATTTAATGATAAGTGACAAAATAACAAGTGACAAAATAACAGTTGCTCATTATCATTTAAAGAGACATGCAGCGAAACGGGTCGCTGTGAACAGCTGTTTTTGAGGAGGTAAAAATGGTGTTATTTTACACAACCATTGAGGAATTTTAACCAAAGTATGTAACAAACTTTACATGAAGACCCTAAAGAATCATACCTACTTGTGGAAAATGGGCATCCGATGACCCCTTTAAAAATATCTTATTTTGTGTTCAACAGAAGAGAGAAACTCTCATACGGGTTTGGAACAACTTGAGTGTGAGTAAATAAAAACAGATCTTTCATTTATGAATGAACTATCCCTTTAACAGTTCAAACTCACCCATCAAATCTGACAGTGCCAGTCTGCTCAGTGTCCACCTTGTAATGGTCCAAAAGTAGCCGGACCACCTTGTCATGTCCGTTCCGAGCCGCGATAATGAGAGGAGTGGATCGCTGTCCGGCCACCTGGGTCACATACTCCAACAGGTATCGGGTCTGGACGGTGGAGTGGTTCAGGAGCAGGGCTGCCAGGGTCAGGACTCTCCCCTCACTGGCTGCTTTGTGAACGTACCGGGCCAAGGACTCCAACCGGGCCAGAGCCGGTACCTCCGCCATCTGTGCAAGATTCGCCCACTGATCTCAGAGCAGATCAATCCGCCTCCCATTAAAAACACCTGCCTGAGCTCTACAGCTCATATATGACACCAGTGTAGAGTTTCAATCTGACCAAGTGCCATTGTACTGGTTATAAATATAACACGATCTGCTGATATGGATCTTATATAAAAACAAACGGATACTTTTAGTCTGACTTCGTGACGTCACGTTGAATTTTTTTATTTTATGAATGTAGTCTAAAGGGGATAGGGCTCTTGAGGTAATTTATCTTGTAACTGAAGTTATTATTATTATAATAGTCCTATGTGTTATAATACATGAGTCATAGACTATTAATATCGTAATTAAAATTAGTTTCACTAGGGATTCTCTTTCACTTCTGTGAGAAACGAGGTTACCCGCCGCATTCCTCCACTTTTGTGCTTCGGTTTGTTCTTATTTCAGTTCTGTGTCCCTCCGCGATAATGTCCGCTGATCACTTCGCCGAAATTAATCCAGATTTCGCTGATGAATCCGACACTGAATCCGAAATAAAGCTCAAATCTCCGCTCAATGTGCCTGTGTCTTTCACCTCTGCTGGAAACGACGCACGGAAATGAAGTCAGCAATAACAGGAAGTGCGACACTGGGATTTATGCTTTGCCTTTTTCGAAATAAAAGTCCCATTTGAATTTAAAAAAAAATACCACGGGTAACATCATAAAAAAAATATTATATCTACCTTCTTGTATTATATTTCTCAGGTGGAACACTTTTTAAACCATTTGTAACTATATTTTTTAAACTATATAATTGAACTGTTTCTATTATTTTATATATATTTAAATATATATATATATATACCATATTATATTATTTCTCAGATGGAACACTTTTAAAACCACTTGTAACTATATATTTTAAACTATATAATTTAGCTGTTTCTATTATTTTTTAGATATTTTATATTTAAATAAATATTATATATATTTATTTTAAGTCATTTGAAATATTTATACATCACTGTACAATAGATAATATCACTGATAAAATAATCTGAATTTTTAATTATGTTTTATTGTATAGATAAAATTAATTTATAGACTAGATTTCATGTTTAATTTATACCTATTTCTTTTTTCCTTTGGAAGGTATTAAAATGCTTTTCCAGGGACACATGGTGCTGTATATTCAACAAAAATATTAAATCCTGAACCATTTAATGCGTTTCACAAAGGGAGGGGTTTGGATTAAAGGTTTATCTCAACTATAAATGCACTGAAAACCTAATCTTTACGGGATTTTGTTTCAGCAGACAAGCTTGACATATTCATGAGCCAAACTATTTTATTTATTAATGTTTTATTTTACCTTATGAATGAACATTTATCTGAATAAATAGTCAGAAGTCATAGTGTATATTGTCAGCTCAGTGGGATTGAATTGAATCTTCAACACCTGTGATGAGTGTCCACAAGCGAGGAGAGATCAGAGCTTTCTTATGTTCGACCCCTGCCCGATGAGGTCAAAGGTCATTCAAATGGTCATCTGACTGCAGTGTGGACGAGAAGCAAGAAATCTTCATGGTGAAATGCCCCCCATCATGCGCAGGAGGCAGAACTGTGCGACGCAAGCTGCCTTCCTGACCAGGTCTGAAACTTTTATTTTGCCTTTTTTATTCTACATATGAAGGACAGTCACAGTTTTATTTCTGACACTTGTAAGCATTTCAATGGTTTTATGATGCATTGAAAAGTGACTATGAGTATGTGACGTTTACAGACAATTCTGATTCTAAAATATATATCAAATAATTTAATATTTAGTAAAAAAAAAAAATCAAAAAGATGTGCTTGGATTGGGTTGAATCCACATTAGAATCACATTCAGAATCCAAAGGCGTCCCAAACCGGAGATATTGGGTTGGGATTTGAGGGAAACAAATCGGATGAGATTAAAATGCGTTCCAAACCATCATCCCGACACTTCCCTTGCACTTTTAATGATGTTAAGGTCAGGAATTAGTGATTCGAACTACCCTCAATGATAAATATAAATATATCATCCTCTATATGGACATGGTGGAGAGTTTGGGAAAATGTACAAATCTTGTTTATATTATTGCATTGCACACTTTGAATGTAATCATCAATGTTAGTTGTGCATTTGTGTATATATTTAATTTTTTTATGATATTAATATTTTTCATACTACTTTCATACTTTATCTACTAAAAGTTCATGTTTTGACAATATTTAGAAATAATTTAGATTTTCACCGTAAATAAACATACCAGTAATGCACATTTATTTGCAAAGAAAATACATTTTTACAGTATTTTATTGTACAATTGCTTATATTGTCTTGTTAAATGTAATATTAAGTTTTTAAGGTGAGTTAAAAGGTAACCAATTAACAGTTTTTACTGCACTATTAATTTTTCCTTTAAAATAATTCACTTTTTTACACTGATATTTGTTGCAAACTTATTTCAATTAAAGTGCAAATTTATGTGTTGTGCAAACAACTCGTTTTAGCAGTTCAGAATCGATTCTTTCTAGGAGACAATACATGTGTATGTGTGTATATATACTGTATATTCATACTTTTTACTTACATACTTTATTTACCAAGACAATTTGAATGAAAATGCATGTTTGACTTGTTAAATATAATATAGTTTTTCCTCTGTAAATTAGAAAGATTTTCACCGTAAATAAACATACCAGTAATTCACATTTTACTTGCAAAGAAAATACATTTTCACAGTATTTTATTGTACAATTGCACGTATTGTTTTGTTAAATGTAACCGTCTCACTTCCTAGGTTTACACTCACATTTTCCTCTGAAAATTTACAAATCTAATGTATATTATTGCAATGCACACTTATATGTGATCTGATATGTGGCATTAGCATCCTAATGTCAACCATTGCAATAAAACTGATTTGTGCTCCAACATCTGGTCCGTGGTGCAAAGTCAGCATGAAAGTCAAACAACGCAACAACAAAACTTACATAATAAAAAAGTGACATAAGTGACATGACCAGATGAGCCAGATGGACTTAAATAAATGAAACATATTTGCCAGATGCTCCGGGAAACACACTGCAGGACCGGCATCCTTTATCACACACATATTCCTGAAAGCATCGCCATCCAGACTTTAATAATCTCAGGCATACAGTCAAATTAAAAATTATTCAGACACCAGATATCATTTTTGATAGTTTTGATAGTGTGTGCAGGACACTATAGTCCATTAATGTAAGTGAGGAGAGCAAAATAAAGTAAACTGTGACATATTATACCCAAATATTCTTCAAACAGTGACTACCAGTAAGATTTATAAAAATTTGGGATCAAATATTATTCCTCCACTTTGAGCTGATGATGTTTTGCTGAAGTGTGTTTTCTGTAATTGCTAATGCTCTTTTTACAAACAGACTGAACAACATGAAGCATTGCTTGGTCACTGGTTGAGCTAAACTGGTATTATCTAATTGTGTAGTTAAATTTAACAGCTGACAGATATTCAACATAATTCATGTGTGAGAGTCTAACAGAAGGACGGACAAAACCAGTCAAATATCCACTGATTTGATAACTCTTGTCATATTTTATTACCATGTTCTAAATAGCGAATAAACTGGGCATGTGAGAAATGTGTGGATAAATTTTGGTTTGACTATTTCTCATTATAAAACTGTTAGTTCCAATCCTTGATTCTGATTGGTCAATAGCTGTGCTTTATTCATGATAAAACACGGCTCTGACCGCTTCACCCAACGGTTCTGTTTATGACTGAGCAACACTGCAGTTCCTATGTTGTTTTTATTTGAGCTTTCCTGCATATTACACATTGGAACGTTGTTGCTGTTCACGGTCAGGGACTATTTTTTTTCTAGCGGAAGGAAGGCTTTTAGAAAATTTACTTCATGAAAGTTGCACTAATACATTTTTTTTTTTACTTTAATATTTTTATTGTGTGGTAACCGTTTTCTAAAAGCAATAAGGTACGAGAGGCAAGTGCTGTATCGTGAATAAGTAACGGCTGAAGGGGTTACTCCGCTTCGCGTCGTGTCTAACAACGCCCTTCAGCCGTTACTTATTCACGATACAGCACAGCCGCCCTCTCGTACCTTATTGCTTACTTATCAATTTATATTTGTGTTGATGACGTACGTCTGCGCAGACACGGGTCGAGGGAGACGGACGGCTGTCTGAGGAAAGCTCAGTTTCACATGGACCTCTGGTGCCGCTTCACCCTCCAGAACTGGCTCCTGGACTTCGGGAGACCCGTAGTCATGGTAACAAAACAACACAACAATAAGGCGTCACGTCATGTTCAGAGCTTTTACATTTAGAAAAAAAAAAACATCTCGGCACGAAAATCACAAGTAATAAAACCGTAATTTTTACGGTAAAAAAACGGGAGCTGTGGTTGCCAGAACTTTACCGTCAAAAATACGGTAGCAACGTTATTGGTTTTACACACTAAACTTAAAATTTACAGTAATAAACCGTACTTCATTATCTGATATAATGTTAATTTACCAACCTACTGAAGTATTAATATCTGTTTTGTACCATTGTAATACACTGACAACTACCAATTGGTAGTTGTCAGTGTATTGATCATGTGACTCTCATCACTGCTGTGATTAATCACAGCAGTGATGAGAGTCACATGATCAATCAAAGCTCAACACAAGCGGCTTTTCCACAAGAAAGTTAATATTATTATATAGAAGCTGCACAGTGTCATTCGCACACACATTAAACACCATCATGGGAACACACATGAAAATAAAAAAATGCAATAAACATTAATTTAACAACATTAAATGTAACATAAAACCCTAATGTACATAACTGATTAGAAAAAAAACAAGAGAACTATGAGGAAACATAGTTATTTCAACAAAAATACATCAAATGTGAAGTGTCACACAGGGAATTGTGGGAATGTCAATTTACGGTCTTTCACTGTAAATTATACAATGAGTTGTTCTTTTTCACTTTCAAAAACTGTAAATTTAACAGGATTTTACAATAAAATTACATTAAATGTACCATGAGATCTATCACAGTAATTTACTGTATATAATAAGGAAACTTTCTGTTAACCAATTAACAGTTTTGCACTGTAGCATTTTTACAGTCTTTTACCGTTAAAATCACAATTATTTTTTACAGCATGTTATGTTTAAACATTTATTCATTTAGCAGGCACTTTTAATTTATTTTGTATTTTTAAAGAGGCAATAACAGGAGAAATATGCTAGCAATACAAAGTCTCAAACATTGTACAGAATAGTATATAATAGAATGTTTATTTTTCATACTTTTTGTAAGTAAGAATATGTTTTTTGCAGCTGTATTCTATGAGGCTTTTTGCTCTGAGTTTCTCTAGATCGTTTGTCCTGTGGAGTGGTTCCCTTTAAACAGACCCAGTGCTGGAGACTATTTCCACATGCTGTACAACATCACCACACCATTCCTGCTGCTCAAGGTGAGGTTATTATGGAGCACGTCACTGATTGATTGACACCTCTTTGTTAAGCCCCGCCCATTCGGTAAGCCCCGCCCCTTTGAAGACTGGCCTGAGATGCATTGCACTTCCAGGATGGATGGCTCTTGTTTTTGGCACTTTGTCAGTGTCACATATCTCAATGTGAGGCTTGCACAAAGCGCAGACACTTTATTTAAAGTCCCCCTGTGGTGAAAATCCAGCTTTTAATGTTGTTTATGTGTCTATGTGGTGTTTTTAATATGCAAACCATGTGTAAATTCATAAGTCGGCAGCATTGCTGAGTATTTTCTGCTTAAAACTGCAGTGAACCAAAGACAGTCTCAAAAACACGGTTTGAAATCGCTGGTGTTTCTGACGTCACAAACGACCTTGTAACCAATCAGATCAACGTGTGATCGTCAACCAGTGGATCTCTGAGCTGAGGGAGTGAGTGGAGGCGGGGCTCATTCGCATATTCATAGAACCACGTATACTAAATGAGGCACGGGTGTCGAGTTACATTCAAGATATTTTAAGGCATTAAGAGATGTTTTTTAAAGGAAAAAACGTTTATATGTCATTTTGGTGATCAAAGATGAGTTTAAGGGATACAGTGATTGACTACAGGGGGACTTTAAAGCTCACAGAGCAAAAGGGGCTCAGAAGGTGATATTTATGACCATGTCAAAGAAATGATGCATCAAACCTGTTGAGAATAAATAACACTGACCTTTACAATCTGTGGAAAAATCTGTCTGACATTTCTGCGTCTTCTTGTACGGATGATTTCTCGGTGGCCAGTCCACATGATTGATGACACGCATTGCATGGATCAAGAAATCTGTTATTATATGATTGAACTCTTCTCAGGTCAGTGTTTTTGCTTAAAACAAGAACAAATATCTAGCTTTGGGGTCAGAAAAATAAACTTATTTTAAGGGGAAAACAAGATTATTTTTCCAACACTGGCAGATATTTGTAGTCAATCATTTTCGTCAATAATGTAGTCAATCGTTGTATCCCTGATCACCAAAATGAATTATTTAAATGAGTGAGCCCCGCCTCCACTCACTCACTCAGCTCAGAGATCCACTGGTTGACGATCACACGTTGATCTGATTGGTTACAAGGTCGTTTGTGACGTCAGAAACCCCAGCGATTTCAAACCGTGTTTTTGAGACTGTCTTTGGTTCACTGCAAGCAGAAAATACTCAGCAATGCTGTCGACTTATGAACTAACACATGGAAGCTTGTTTCCGCCACAGAATAAAAAATAAAAAAGGTAATTGCGACTTTTTATCTCACAATTCTGACTTTATTTCTCAGAATTGCGAGATATAAAGTCAGAATTGCGTGATATAAAATCGCAATTGCGAGATATGAAGTCAGAATTTATTGATATAAAGTCGCAATTGCAGGTTATAAAGTCAGAATTGCGTGATATAAAGTCAGAATTGCGTGATATAAAGTCGCAATTGCGTGTTATAAAGTCAGAATTGCGTGATATAAAGTCAGAATTGCGTGATATAAAGTCGCAATTGCGTGTTGTAAAGTCAGAATTGCGTGATATAAAGTCGCAATTGCGTGTTGTAAAGTCAGAATTGCGAGATATAAAGTCGCAATTGCGTGTTGTAAAGTCAGAATTGCGAGATATAAACTATTCTGAGGGGAAAAAAGTTAGTCTTTTTTCCCCTTAGAATTGGCCTGATAACTCGCAATTGCGAGTTTATATCTCACAATTCTGAGAAAAGATGTCAGAATTGCGAGATATAAACTCGCAATTATGTGTTATAAAGTCAGAATTGCGAGATGTAAACTCGCAATTGTGAGAAAAAAAAGTCAGAATTGTGAGATAAAAAGTCACAATTCTGTCTTTTTTTCTTGCAATTGCGACTTTATTTCTCATAATTGCGACTTTATATCTCGCAATTGCGACTTTATTTCTCAGAATTGCGACTTTATATCTCGCAATTGCGACTTCATTTCTCACAATTCTAACTTCATATCTTGCAATTGTGAGATAAAAAGTCGCAATTATTATTATTTGTTTTTTTTATTCAGTGGCGGAAACAAGCTTCCATAATTTACACATGGTTTGTCTTAAAGCATATTAAAAACACCACATAGACACATAAACAACATTAAAAGCTTGATTTTCCCCACAGGGGGACTTTAATATCTTCAGTCATTTTGCTTCTCCGCTATCTTGATTTAAGAATGTTTAGATATTTGTAGTGAAAAACACAGAAAAGAGATGAAGAGCATAATTTTACTTTTTGCAGTTAGTTTTGAGCTTGTGTTTATGATCGTCTGCTATTTTTAAGTGAAATAAAATGCAATATCATTGTCACATGACCTCACTTGTTTAGTTCAGCAAGTTGCATACAATATATTTTGCTATTTTGTATTTTTTCAATTCATTTTTGTGTTAAATGTTGTCAGTAATAAATTACAGCTGTACATCATCACTCTAGACAAGTGGGATCTTGTTTATATTATTGCAATAAACTCTTTGAATGTGATCTTCAATATTAGTTTTGACTCCTTGTTGATATTTCAGTCTTCTTAAGTGGCATTAATAACATCCTGCATCCAATAATATTTACAGGTGAAACTCGAAAAATTTGAATATCGTGCAAAAGTTCATTTATTTCAGTAATTCAACTTAAAAGGTGAAACTAATATATTATATAGACTCATTACATGCAAAGTGAGATATTTCAAGCCTTTATTTGTTATAATTGTGATGATTATGGCTTACAGCTTATGAAAACCCCAAATTCAAAATTAGAATATTGTGAAAAGGTTTTCATATCTGTAAGCCATAATCATCACAATTATACCAAATAAAGGCTTGAAATATCTCACTTTGCATGTAATGAGTCTATATAATATATTAGTTTCACCTTTTAAGTTGAACTTTTGCACGATATTGTATATATTCATACTTTTTACTCTACTTACGTACTTAATTTACTAAAAACTATTTGAGTGAAAATGCATGTTTGACTTGTTAAATATAATTTAGTGCACTGCATTTTGGTATATAATATCATTTTGGTATATAATATCTCATGCGATGTTCTGTTCCAGCTCATTGAGCGAAGCCCGAAGACTTTGCCCCGCTCCGCCGTTTACCTGTGTATCATCACGTTTGTGATGGGCTCGAGCGCACACCTGGTGGGAGACTCCATTAACCATCGGCTTCTGCTCAGCGGATACCAGTTACACCTGAGCGTCAGGGAAAACCCCATCATGAAGAACCTCACACCACAAACCCTGGTAGAACGGCCCAGGAAAACTCGCTCTAATGATCAGAATCAGTGCAAGAGCTTTCAAGACTCAACAGTTGTTCAGCATATGTGCATATCATTATGCTTTTTTAGTGATTAAAGTCCCCCTGTGGTGTAAATCCAGCTTTTAATGTTGTTTATATGTCTATGTGGTGTTTTTAATATGCTTTAAGACACACCATGTGTAAATTCATAAGTCGACAGCATTGCTGAGTATTTTCTGCTTAAAACTGCAGTGAACCAAAGACAGTCTCAAAAACACGGTTTGAAATCGCTGGTGTTTCTGACGTCACAAACGACCTTGTAACCAATCAGATCAACGTGTGATCGTCAACGAGTGGATCTCTGAGCTGAGTGAGTGAGTGGAGGCGGGGCTCATTTGCATATTCATAGAACCGCGTATACTAAATGAGGCAAAGGTGTCGAGTTACATTTAAGATATTTTAAGGCATGAAGACATTTTTTTTTCAAAGAAAAAACATTTAAATATGTCATTTTGGTGATTAAAGATGCAGTTTAAGGGATACAATTATTGACTAAAGGGGGACTTTAACAGCTACTTAGAAAATTACAAGAGATTTATTCTAGCCATTGTGTTGCTGAGTTTTGTGCTGGTCAAACAACAGCATTGACATTTTCTTCAGGAATTCTTACAGGTTTGCATCTACTCTGTTTTCCTCTGTTTTCTGACAGATTGACTCGTTTGAGTTGCTACAGTATTATGATGAAAGTCTGGGTCATTGCATGTGGTAAGCTGGAAAATATTCTGCCATGATTTATTTCATAACCTAATTAACCTAATTAATCAAAAAATCATTATTCAGTAGAAACATCCTTGCTTCATGAGGGGTTAAAAGCAGAAATGTGCCATTTATAATTGTATTAAAGTGCTGGGATTCATTATTTTCTACAAAAATGTTTTATTTAATCTATAACCAAACTAGCAAAATATTCTAAAAACGTCCCCGTTTCGTTATGAAAATGTCATTTCTGAATGTTTTCTGAACATTTCAACAACATCCAGGTTTTCTTGGTTATACGAACGTTATTGCAAACATTGTATCATTTTGCAAACATTATTGGAATTTCACTTTCGAATGTTCTCTGAACATTCCGAAACAAGTTGTAACATTTAAAAGAAAAAAAAAACGTTAAAGGAACATTCAAATGTTTCAGAAAAAAACATTCCATGAACGATGTATAAATAATGTTTTTGTGCTAACGTTTTGAGAGCATTATTAAAGACCAGATAACTTTGAAACAAAAAGAAAGTTTGTCCATAACGTTGAGAGAACGTTCCCTGTTATCTGGGAATGTGTCTAAAAATCACTTTTACACTTTAATCTTCCATTTTTACAGGAGTGTTCCTCTATTTCTCATCCTGTTCCTGTATTTCACTGGCTGTTTCACTATTGTCAAATCAGAGAAGAAGATGCCCGTCTCTGCTTGGCTTCTGCTGGGTCCTAGTGGCCTTTACTACTGGTCCGTTTCTCCCTGTAACACTAGTGTATAGTTCACCCAAAAATGAACATTTTGTCATCATTTACTCACCCTCATGTTGTTCCAAATCTGTACGAGTTTCTTCTGTTGAACAAAAAAGAAGATTTTTCTAAAGAACCAGACAGTTGACGGCACCCATTGACTTCCATATAGTATAAAAAAACAGTACACTCTAAAAAATGGGTTGTTTTATCCCAATTTTGGGTCATATATGAACAAACCCAAACGTTGGGTTAAAAATGTAATAAACAAATTTAACCCAATTAATGGCTGAGTTTGTCCATATTTGACCCAAAGTTGGGTTGAAACAACCCAGCATTTTTTAGAGTGGAGGTCAATGGGTGCCATCAACTGTCTGGTTTCCAACATTCTTAGTATATAATTAATGCATAATTTGTCATGGCAATAAAGCTAATTTGCAATGAATTAATGTGTTGGTAAACGTTTATCTTGATCAGCTGCTACTCTAAAAAAATGCTGGGTTGTTTTAACCCAATTTTGGGTCAAATATGGACAAACTCAGCCATTGGGTTAAATTTTTAAATTGCATTTTTAATCTCCATGTTTGACCCAAAATTGGGTTAAAACAACCCAGCATGAGATTAATAGATGCTTTAGAAGTATGTAAAGTGTTACTAACACTGCTTCCTCCAAGTAAGAGTTTTTTATGCATGCTTTTTGTTGACTTGCATGGAACTGAAATGAATTGCTGTTTCCTCAGGTATCTTGTGACGGAAGGACAAATCTTCATCCCCTTCATCTTCACCTTTTTTGCCATGACGGCTACAGTCATGCACCAGAAGCGTAAAGGTTTTCTGCCCGACAGTAACGGACTGTTCCTGCTCTACAGTTTCTCAATATCACTCGTGTTAGTGACCGTCTGGGTCGCCTGTCTGTGGAAGGACGCGGTGTTACGGAAGAAATACCCAGGAGTGATGTATATACCTGAGCCGTGGGCCCTTTACACACTTCACCTGAGAGACAAACACACGACGCTCGCAGACTGAACCCACAGATCACTGTCAGGGCAGATCATGACGGGCATTGCAACCATAAACTCTTCATTAATGTCATGTTGCACCTTCAAAAATTGACTTTATGCACAGCTGGCATCCTATGAATTTATGCAAAACGAGTCAATTTCCACCAGCCAAAGTCGTGCAATATGCTATTCTATCCTATTTTGTTCTATTCTAAATTATCAAGATACACTATTGTTCAAAAGTTTGGGGTTAGTATGTTTTTTTTTTTTTTTTTTTTTAAAGAAATTAATACTTTTAATGAGCAAGGACACACTTAACTGATCAGAAGTGACAGTCATTTTTTATAATGTTAAGATTTCTAATTTCAGATAAATGCAGTTCTTTTCAACTTTCTATTCATCAAAGAATCCTGGAAGGGAAGAAAAAAAAAATCAGACCAGCTTTTTTACAGAAGGGTTTGTTAATATCAATCGCCTGATTTAAAAAAACAAAACATTTTATTCCTGAAAACATTATGAAAGCATTTTCTATCTATTGACAGTATGTTCTCTGATTTATAGAGCGATAAAAGAGATATCCAAAATAAATATCAACAAAATAAAAAAGAATTTTGAAACCTGGCTTTTTCCATGTGTTTCTGATTTCTGTTCTGGAAAGTATGCAAATTTGTGCATATTTAATTATAGCCCTGCAATGCCTCATTTAGCATATGTAAAAAAAATAAGAAGACTTTTAATACAAAATAATTAACTTGGGAAGTGATTTGGTTAATAACATCTGTGTTGTCTTTCCTTAAGTATTATTTCGGTAAGAAATGAACAATAATACTTAATAAAACTTAATATTTTTAAATATACGATGTGGACTAATGGAGGTATCCTCTACTTAAATAGCGACAGTACGCCTATATTAAGAAATTCTAACTTTGTAAATTTTCACTGTATATTTTAAATAGTATTATTATTATTATGTTAATACTAAATATGTTTAAATCCCGTTTAAATCACAGCTGAAGAACGTCAACCGTTGACGCCATGTCACGTGATACCCGTTTCTTTCCTCAGCGCTGGTTAGTCTTGTCGTTGTTGTTGGAGTCCTATCCTAACGTGACTGAATGGGATAATATAAATTGGATTTTACTATTTTAAATGATTCTATGTTTTAGCATACATATGTTTTCGATCAGACATAATAACATCTTAATCCCTGGTGAGATTTGAATGCGGCTCGTTTTCTATGCGCTCGAGCGCCGCCTAGAGGAATAAAAGTTCCTCACATTAGCAGTAAAGCAGAGCTGCACATTGACATGGTTAGTTTAGCATCTGTTTTTTTGCGTATTATTTCCATGAAAAAGAAATTGTTATTACAACGTTTTATAGTATAATTGACTTCTTCTGTCATTAAATGCAGGCGAAATTCCTCAGTCAAGATCAAATCAACGGTAAGTAGACCGAGGCTAAAGATTGTCTCTCTCAAGACTACAAATCCTTTCTCACAGGAACTGTTTGATTACTAATCTGATTAGTCAGATAAATTCGGTTTTATATTTTTAACACAAGCCAGAAATACATGTTAATATAGAAATTTAGCCACTTTTACACTAACACTTATATAACAGATTTCATTAACACATTATAAAATGCTTTTGATACTGTACAGTACTGTATGTAACAACAATATACATCTTTACCATGACTTTTTTTTTGTAATCAACAACACATCCTTGACTCGACCCCAAACTTTTATACGGGAGTGTATAATATTACAAAAATATTTCTATTTCAAATTAATGCTGTTCTTTTTTAAAACTTTTTTTTAAATCCTGAAAAAAGTATCACAGGTTATAAAGAAATATTAAAGCGGCACAACTGTTTCCAACATTGATAATAAATCATCATATTAGAGTGATTTCTGAAGGATCATGTGACACTGACTGAAGACTGGAGTAATGATGCTGAAAAATCAGCTTTTCATCACAGGAATAAATTACATTTTAACATATATTCAAATAGAAAGCCATTCTTTTAAATTGTAATAATATTTCACAATATTTAAAAATGTATGTTTTTTTTTAATCAAATAAATTCAGGCGTAATGAGCAGAAGAGACTTCTTTCAAAAACATTAAAAATAGTTGTATCCAAACGTTTGACCGGTATAAAAGTTTATTGCAGTTATAATCTGAGTTTATTATAACTGAAGCCATTCAATAGATGTTGTTATTCTTCCACTGGAGACAAAGTGGCATTTGTTGTGTTCATTTCACTTCAGCGGAGCGATTACTGCAGCACAAGCGCAGTGAACCGAGAGACACAACTGAACATGGGACTCAACAAAATATGAGGATAAAAGCAAGAACTTAACCGACTGATAATGCATGATTTACACCGTAAACACGACGATATAAACTCCACCTGCTGTTGTTGATAATGCTGTAATCTTGATTCCCTCTTAAACAGGTTGTCTCCGTTTATGCCAGAACAAATCCTTCATTTGGTATTAAAGAGATTATTTGTGTCCAATCCTTATAAAACATAAACATTCGTATCTGTCTTTTGGATACATTTTAAACTAGAACATCTTCTAAGGTAACTTGTGTTTTGTTCTCTGAGGTTGTGTTTTAAATGTTTGCATGTATAGTAATATGTTTTTGTCTTTATTCAGAGTACAAAGAGTGTTTTTCGCTGTACGACCAGAAGCGCGTTGGTAAAATGAAGACGCAGGATCTGCTGACGGTCATGAGATCTCTGGGCCGATGTCCGACCCTGCCAGAACTCGACAGACACTTACTGACCCATAAAATCGGTATAGTATCTACAGTCAAACCAATGTATTCAGACACCTTCAATATTTCTCACATTATCACAACATTTACAGAAAATGGTAATAAAATATGAGCAGAACTCAGTTGATATTTGACTGGTTTTGTCCGTCCTTCTGTTAGACTCTCACACATGAATTATGTTGAATATCTGTCAGCTGTTAAATTTAACTACACAATTAGATAATACCAGTTTAGCTCAACCAGTGACCAAGCAATGCTTCATGTTGTTCAGTCTGTGTGTAAAAAGAGCATTAGCAATTACAGAAAACACACTTCAGCTCAAAGTGTCTGAATATTATTTGGTCCCAAATTTCAATAAATGTTACTGGTAGTCACTGTATGAAGAATATTTGGGTATAATATGTCACAGTTTGCTTTATTTTGCTCTCCTCACTTACATAAATGAACTATAGTGTCCTGCACACACTAGTGAAACAATATCAAAAATTATGTCTGGTGTCTGAATAATCTTTGGTTTGACTGTGTATCCGCTGGTCTGTTGGGTTGCAAGCTACAAAATAATGATTGTTTCCAAATGGGGTTCATAAACTCCTCCCCTTCTGCTCCCCACCTGTCAATCAAACGGATAGTCCCGCCCCAAACTCGCTCTAGAGAGTGCAGCTTTTTCAGTTTAAAATAGTCCTCGTGAAAGAGTTTTAATCGTTATAAGCCGGCTACAAGCATCATTACAAGCAAGAAAAGTATTTGAAAACCAGACTGGCTTTAATGAGGGAAAGAACTACAATCCCATGAAGCATTGTGAATCACATAATCAACATCTGATGGATAAATATAAACTATTGATGTAAAGATGTATATATAAACAATATATTTTATGTTTATTTGCAAAATATGCATAAATTGACCAATGAGAGTTTTTTTTGGCATGATTTGTTTGCTGGAATCATGGGTAATGTAGTTTTTCACCCGGATTCTGCTGTAAAACACGATTATTTAAAAATAATGCGAACAGATTGCTTTAACAGAAGCATTGATTAACAACTTTGTAGGTCTGTCTTTAAAGTTAAATTCAGTTCAATGTTGCAAAGTTCATCACTTATGAAACCAGCTTAATATAATATAAACTTAAAATATTATTAAAGACAAGTAAACAGTCAGTAATAAAATAAGAAAAAATGATCAAATTACAAGCGAAAGCACAAATAAATACAATATAACAAAGACACAAATTAAATAAACTGCTTTTCAGGTTTTTCAGGAAGATGTTACAGTAGTTTTCAGGTACAGAAATTTAATAAAGTAAGCACATGTAAAATAACACTGTATAAATTAAACATCCTTATTAATGAATCCTTATTAAAGTTACAAAAGTTATTCAGTCAAGAGCAGTGAGGGATTTTTTCTTTGTCGTTTGTTGTTTGATTTGCATTATAAACACAGACAGCCGCAGGAATATTAGGCTACTGTCACTTTAAGAGCGAATGCACTGATCTAATATACTGATACACATGTGTTTACTTTCTCAACTGTTTACGTTCACTTATGACTTGACTGACTATGTTTACTAGGATACTCGCTATTTTTTGACATAATGTCGTGTGAATTTGTTCGCTCAAGTGCAAGAAGACACGAAAGAGTGCTCAGATTAGTATTCGCACACAAAACTTTCCACACAACTCGTGAGTAACAGAATGAGTTCCCTTTCGGAGCATCTTGCGCTTGAATATTTAAATTGTCAAAACTTTCGTAACAATGCAGCGCCGGCCCGTCAAATATCATAGAATTCATAGAAATGTTCGTTGACGCTCGGCGAATGTTAATTTTCGGCCCTGATTTAAAGCAACAGACACGATAATATAGCTATCGTTATCTTTATAGTTATTGTTCTTGGTGTGAACAGGCCACTGTTATTTACTTGTTATTATTATCATTGTGCAGCTTCTTTGAAATAATCTGTATTGTATAAAGTGCTATATAAAATATAAATGTGACTTGACTCGCCCTGAAGTCAAAAATTGTATCCCTTAAAGGGGTCATGAACTGGCTTTTTAAATTGTTTTATATTGTTGTCTGAGGTCAACTTATGACGTTCGCTTGGTTTTTTACATTCAAAAACATCAAAATGAATAAGTAATAGGCTATTTTCTACCCTAGTTTTGAGCCTAGCTCAAAAACGCTCGGTTTTTATGGGCGTCTTGCATTGAAGACATGGAAGTAAACGCCCACTGCTGTGAGTGGATAACAGTTTTGCATATTATAATGAGTTTCGTGTAATGCGCGAATCGGTGGGCGGGGCTAAACCGGCCGTGTTGAAGTAGGCGTTGATCTTCTTCTGCGGGGGTGGCGTTTTATCCTCTTTGTCGTCATAGTTCCCCACTTTGAAAAACGAGTCGTTTGCTGAGCCTGGTGTCAATAAAAGCTTTTATTGGACTAACAAGGACGTTTTCAGTTCTGAAACTTACAGGATATTCTTATAATTTGATGACCTCTTAGATGTCAAAAGCTCAAGGAAAATTTGATTTCTCAGTTCATCACCCCTTTAAACTCATTTTTGATCACCAAAATTACATATTTAAACGTTTTTTCCTTGAAAACATTTCTTCATGTCTTAAATATCTTGAATGTAACTCGACACCCTTGCCTCATTTAGTATACGCGGTTCTATGAATATGCAAATGAGCCCCGCCTCCACTCACTCCCTCAGCTCAGAGATCCACTGGTTGACGATCACACGTTGATCTGATTGGTTACAAGGTCGTTTGTGACGTCAGAAACACCAGCGATTTCAAACCGTGTTTTTGAGACTGTCTTTGATTCACTGCAGTTTTAAGCAGAAAATACTCAGCAATGCTGTCGACTTATGAATTTACACATGGTGTGTCTTAAAGCATATTAAAAACACCATATAGACACATAAACAACTTTAAAAGCTGGATTTTCACCACAGGGTGACTTTAAGTGAAAAATCAGTGGAGAAAATGAATGAGATTTTATAGTTTGAGTCAAGGTGGCTCATTGAAAACGGTCACTGACGACTCTGAACGTTAAACCGAGAGACTGGAAGTATTTGAACATCCAAACAAATGACAGTGTTAAGTTATCAGATAGATGTCCTCCTAAACGTCCAATCCCCAGGTAAAGTCAACAGTGTAAACTTTGCTTACTAAGTAAAATAAACTGGAAATCAGTAGGAGTACGTGTATGAAACTCAACAATAACAATCGCAGACTTCAGGGCCCAGTACATCCAGATAAGGACAGTGAACGCAGAAAGATGGTTTATAGAGTCACACAGACGAAAAGCAGCACATCCAGAGTGATTTTTATTGGAAAGGAGAGACATATGAACTGACATCACATGATGAAATGCTTGACAAATGTGTTGAAATGTACTAAATATAAACCTGGCGGAATGAATTTGACTCTCAGCCTGTCAGACGTGATCAAGCGGCTTCCGCATCCGAAGCTTTTTGGCAAAGTGTTTGACTCTGTCTGTCCTAGATAAGAGCGGCGAGTTGGACTTCTCCACGTTTCTCAGCGTGATGCACGCGCAGATCCGGCGGGAACACCCTCGGGATGAGATCCTGCGGGCCGTGAGGCTGATGGACACGGAGAAGCGAGGCTTCATCACGGTGCCGGAGCTCAGGGTCAGACTGACGGGCTTTGGAGAACAACTCACAGATCAAGAAGGTGTGAGACGTTCAAGTCCTGCTCTGTAAACTGTGATCAGTTGACATAACTTCAAAAAAGTGGACTTCAACTTAACTTTGCAAAAATAAACTTCATGCGTAATTGAAAAAGTTATGTGGAATTGAAAATTGAAAGTTATGTGGACTTGGCAGCTTATGTCAAGTTGACAAGTCCACATAACTTAATTTTTTCAATTACGCACGAAGTTTATTTTTGCAAAGTTAAGTTGAAGTCCACTTTTTTGAAGTTATGTCAACTGATTACTTTTTTACAGTGTGGGAAGGTCGTATTTACGATTTGGGAAGTCGTGTGTGTCCTTCCCTCGGGTCAAATGTAGTGTTTATCAGAGGGGTCCAAAACCTTAGGACTTTTGTCACACTTGAACCATGAATACACACACACACACACACACACACACACACAAAGAAAGCCAAAGAGAGGATTCGAGGAGAAGAAAAAAATCTACTCTGTTTTTCTGAATTAACGAGTTAATATCTCAGGATTACGAGATAATTTTTCATGGAAAAAAGTTTTTGCTCTGTTTTTCTGAATTAATGACTTGATTATCTCAAAATTATGAGTAACTCATTAATTCATAAAAACAGAGTGAAAAAAAATGTTTTTCAAGAAAAATTTATCTCATAATTCTGAGATAATTAACTCGTTAATTCAGAAAAACAGAGTAGATTTTTTGGTTACACTTTATTTTAAGGTGTCATTGTTACAGTGTAATTATATATTTAAGTACTGAGTAATATTAATTAACAACATGTACTTACTATATAGGGTTAGGATTTGGTTGAGGGTTAGTTGCATGTAATTATGCATAATTTACTGTTATTACTATGATAAGTACATGTAACATATGTAACAAGGACACTGTAAAATAAAGTGTTACCGATTTTTTTTCCTCAAGTGAATGCAATACGCTTCCGTAGTTTTCTTTCCTCTAATGTGAAAAAAAGACTATTTTGGAAGCAAAATAGCAGAAATTCTTAAAAATGAGCAGTGCGTGAAAAACAAAACAAGTAGGACTTTGTATGTAAAATGCATCCATCTGCAGTCCAGAAACAATCCAGAACATAGAAATGACTTATGATAAATATAATACAGATGTTTATGTCCCAGTCGAGGAGCTGCTGGGTGAAGCCGGCGTGGCGTGTGATCAGATCCACTACGAGGACTTCGCCAAGATGGTGGCGTTTCTGACGGTCGGTGCCGAACACACTTCAGACCACCAATAAATCAGCCTCTAAATCTTCCCAAAACAGCAGAACATGACAAACTTCACAACCCTGACCATATTTAACTGATAAAGCACCTGCCAAACGCTTCCAATCATTAACTAACTGTGGGATTGTTTTGAAAGTGACCAGATGTGGCTAAGTTGTTTTCTGACTTTCCAGAAACTTCAGTAAGATTTCAGATTATTAGTGATTATTAAGAGTATTGTGTTTTAAATTGTGATCATAGTGCCCTCTTGTGTTTATAGAGAATATTTTTCACTGGCTGTGATGCATCACGTTTCACACAACAGAAATTATTTTTTATAAGCGTCTGGTTAAAAACAATAAATGTGTCTCTCTCTCTCTCTCTCTGTTAAAACAGTTTATTATAACCTATAAAAAGCAAGAACTGAAAGCAGACTCTGTTGTTTTGTCTTTGGTAAAGCTCATAAATGTGGTGTTAATGTGTCTGCGTTGAGATAATAAACTAAAGCTTCAGTCCAGCGCAGTCGATCTGCCGCCAAATGTTAATTAGATGGAATAACAGTAAAAGTTAACTTTGTAATTGTGTTTATGAGGAAAACAAACATTGCTATGATAAGACAGGACTTTATTATGTCCTTCAAATGGACAACACAGTAACACTGTTTACATTCATTTCCGTTCGGACCATCACCTTCACATGGTTCAGGTCACTGACACAGCTTTATTACACTTCAAATCAGCAATACATTTTAATTATTTCAGAATTTCCAGGCAATAAATTCAAACAGGAAAAAAAGGAATGAATAATGTATTTGAAGTTTTAACATTGTTTCATGTACAGTATGATCAGTCTCAGGGCAGAGATTGTTTTCTAAAGCAACACAATTTTACTCCAAACGGGGGAAAAAGGGGTTTGTCAAATATTTATAATAAATCATATATATAGTTGAACCTTAATACAATTATTAAGATGTATAAGCAATTAAAGTAATTAAATGTACAACTTTTTAGTGTATTAGGCCTATTGGTGCAATAACATTTTAAAGAGAAAAATATGAGATTGCTCAAATAATACATAATTTTAAGATATAATAACAACAATACATGTGTGTGTGTGTATATATAAATATATATTAAAGCCTTTTTTCAGGAGTTATTTCGATTAACAGTAAAACTCCTATATTCCTTATATATTATAAATTAAGAATTTTAAATGAGAAAAAAATGTCTAAAGCTTAATAAAACATTTAATCTTAAGTATAAATCTGAATGGAACGAGGGAATGGAATATTTGATGTGATTCATAAATTAAATGTCAAAATATGAAAATATGTTTAAGTTTAAGAATTATAAAAAAATTTATTAAGCTCGTTTAAAATTCGTATTAATTGAAATGCATAAATCTTGAAAAAGGGCACACACACACACACTTGAGAATTGTTGTATCTTAATACAATTAATAATTATTTTGGTTACACTTTATTTTAGGTGTCTGTGTTACAGTGTAATTATACTCAGTAATAATAATTAACTACATGTACTTACTAGGGTTAGGATTATGTTTTGTTTAGGGTTAATTGCATGTAATAATGCATTATTTATAGTTATTTCTATAGCAACTACATATAACAAATGTAACAATGACACTGTAAAATAAAGCGTTACCATTATTTTATATAATTATATTGAGCAATTGATTTTTTTTGTTTGTTTTTTGTATGCATCAATATCTTGCTCCAGACATTAGTAAAAGTGGAAATGATATATGCAATTAAATAAATAAATGCAGTGCAGCATAAGCCCAATATTTTACATCCAGGTGTGCTTCACGAGCGCCTTTACGCGGAATTAAACCATAAGCGTTAAAAAAAGCGGACAAATGTTTTAGTTCTTGGCACAACAATGATATAATAAAAAAGAGATTTCCTCCAGTCTACCTCATTACAGCGCAGTCTGTGGACGGGAGCACGTCTGTTTGCCCGTTCACCACCGATAACCGGTAATCCTCGGTCTCCATCACGTTCAGCGGAATCCCGGCCTGACTGTCGCGCGCCTTCGCGGTTCCGGAGAACGGGCGGATCTGACAGCCATTGGCGATCGCGGGGGACGAGATCCTCCAGAAGAAGTCCTTCAACATCTTCCTGAACTCCCTGCGCATGAGGCAGTACAGCACCGGGTTCAGGCAGCTGTTCGAGTGCGCCAGGCAGATGGTGACCGGGAACACGTACGTGTGGAGCGCGTAGTAGAACTTATCCCATTGTATGACGTTAAACTTCACCAGGACTCCCCAGAAAGTGATGGCGTGGTTGGGAAGCCAGCAGATGAAGAACGATAGGACCACGATCGTGACGGATTTGGTGACTTTAGACCTGCGTTTGGGGAGGTTGTTGTTCATGCTGCGTTGGCGGATGAGGCGGAGAAGGAGAATGTAACAGATGATGGTGATGAGCATCGGGATCACGAACGCAACTAAGATCTTCTGGAGGTGATAGAGAGCGTGCCCACGCTGGCCGTTAGGAAAACGCGTTAGGCATAGTTTAACACCGCTGATTGTGTTCACCCCGGTGAATATCCCCGTGGGCACTGAGGCCACCGTAGCCAGGAGCCACAGGAGCGCGCTCACAAGTTTAACCGAGCAACGCGTGTTGCGCGTTCGGTCCTTAAGCGCGGACGCAACGGACCAGTACCGCGTAACACTCATAGCAGTGAGAAAAAACGCGCTCGCGTACACGTTCATCACGGTCACCGTGACCACCACTTTACACATTGCGTGTCCGAAGGGCCAGGTGAAGTCCAGCGCGGTGTCCACCGCCCAGAAGGGCAGCGTGAGGACGAACTGGAAGTCCGTGACCGCAAGGTTCATGATGAAGTAGTTAATTGTGGATTTCTTCCTGCCCTGGCGGACTCTCATAAGGAAGAACACTAGAAGGTTTCCCACTAGACCCACCGCACACACCACCGAGTACACGATTGAGATCATGACGCGGAGCCCGAGGGTCCCGTCCGCGGACACGTCGATGTCCTCCAGGTTGCTGATTCGGTTAAGCTCGGAACCGGAGCCGTTAAATGAGCTCTGGTTCAGGTATTCCGCCATCACGTCCTGCTCGGCGTCAGGTGCCCGGTGTAGCCCGGGGATGTGGAGGGCTTGCATCACTATAACGGGCGAGGAGTGCGCGCAACGATCACACACACCGGAGACTCCCGCGCCATGACGGAGCTCTCACGGTGCGCGGTGCCGCTGCTGGTGCTGATGCGCGCGCGCGCGGGCTTATGAAACCTGCGCCACCCCGAAGTCACGCCCACATTGGGCGGAGTCACAATGAGCCACGCCCCCTTAACGCCAGGTTTGACTTATTTGACTTTAAATAGGGTGAATTCAGTTTGATTGGGACACTTTTTATACAGTCATCTCAATGGCATAAAGTGTTCCAATCAACCTGAATTCACCCCGAAATACAGTCAAAGCTAACTTTATTCAGACACTTTCTCGCATTATCACAGTTTATTCGCTATAGTTTAGAAAATGGTAATAAAATATGAGCAGAACTCAGTGGATATTTGACTGGTTTTGTCCGTCCTTCTGTTAGACTCTCACACATGAATTATGTTGAATATCTGTCAGCTGTTAAATTTAACTACACAATTAGATAATACCAGTTTAGCTCAACCAGTGACCAAGCAATGCTTCATGTTGTTCAGTCTGTGTGTAAAAAGAGCATTAGCAATTACAGAAAACACACTTCAGCAAAACATCATCAGCTCAAAGTGGAGGAATCATATTTGCTCCCAAATTTTTATAAATGTTACTGGTAGTCACTGTATGAAGAATATTTGGGTATAATATGTCACATTTACTTTATTTTGCTCTCCTCACTTACATAAAGGAACTTTATGTATTATAATCAAAAATGATATCTGGTGTCTGAATAATGTTTGCTTTGAGTGTATAGTGGTGTGACTCAGATTAAACACAGGTGTATGA